GACCTCGCCTACATTGTCCTCCAGCTTGCCCAGAGCAGGCTTAAAGTTGATTCCCAAGTAGAAAGTGACACTCATACCAGTGCTTCTATGATACAAGAAATTGCGGCTTGTCTCCGGCGATTGATTAATGAACCAATTGCTAGTTAATTCCCTACTTGGATATGTGGGAATTCATACGCACACATAAATACTAATGAATATGAACAGTGGAGACTGTTCATCCCTTAGCTTTCTTTTAGTTCATTTTTGCTCTATATATATATTTTTTTAACGTAACAGCTTCTCCCACAATGTGTGGAGAATGACCAAGTGCACCCCATGTTAACAGGTGAATTGAATAACTAGAATCAATTTACCCTATATCAATAACACAACAAAATGTATTTCTCTACTCTTCTCTTTTCTTTGTTTTGGACAGGAGAGAAATATATTCTAGCTATTCAATTCACCTATTAATAGTATGTGCTGGTATCATCATGCATGTTGGTTGGTTAATATGTCTTGATAACAGTGGCGACACATGTGTTTGGTGGGCCTCAGGATTTAGGAGGTTTAGTAAGGGTTAGATTTGCAATGATATTAGTCTTCTACTGTTCATAGCTTTTTTTGTATATAATGTTAATGTACCATACACAAGAAGTAGCTTTTAGTTTAGCACTTTAAAAGTTAATCCGCAATGGTCTAGTGGCTAGGATCCGACGCTCTCACCGTCGTGGCCGGGGTTCAATTCCCCGTTGCGGAATTTTTTGTTGTATATAAAAATTAATTTGAGAGTAAGCTTAGTAATAAAGCATATTTGCAAGTGTATTAGTACTAAAGCTACACTTTCTATTTTTTATTTATTAACCCACCCAAGCTAATGACCCTTTAACTGCCATACCTTTACAAAAACCCAAAACACCATATTTTCTTGTTTTCATAATCCTGTTTTCCAACTTCTGTGAGAGAAAATAGATATGTTGTGCAAAACATATAGTGTTAACGGGTGATTTCAATACATGTACTTAAAACTGTATTCTAAAAACTAGGAAAAGAGAAGAGCATAAACTAATAAATGTTGTTGTTTTGCCCTTTTTATGGCTGTGAGTCTTTGTACTCAAGGGCAACTGATGGGCATTTCTTATTAGGGAAATCTGTGCCCAACACTCCTCTATCCTAAGACGTTACCAACTGGTCTAAGTAACGTCTAAGTCATCATCGACATTGTATTCGTTGATCCAATCTGACTCAGCTTCTGAGTAACCAGTCCGCTGGATGAGATATTGCCTGCAGCCTTGATGATCATGATGCTCCAAAATGTCATTGACTTCAAAGTAGTCTGAAGTATTGTCAACTGGTCCTGGGTGTAGTGGTTTGGTTGGTCTTGAAATGTATGCCTTGAGTGATGATATGTGGAAAACGTTGTGTGCACGGACATTGGGAGGCAGCTTAATGCAGTATGTGACAGATGAAAGTGCCTCTAGGACCTTGTATGGGCCAAGCCAGCAGTCGCTCAGTTTAGCAGATGTGCAGTTGTGTTCATAGTCAGAGTTGATCATGCTGGCACTGCTCATGATGAGATCTCCAGCCTTGAACTGGATGCTGTGGCGGTTATGGTTTACTTGGGCTGCCATTGCATCCTGAGCAGCTGCCAGTGTGTCACATTCTTGACGGATGACTTGCTGGTGATGGTTCATGAAATCAGACAGGGTCAAGTTGGCCTGATTGGTCTGTGGGTTGAGTAGGACATTGGGTGTGACTGGTTCATGGCCATGTACAACATGCATTGGTGTAAGCTCAGTGACAGCTTGCTTGGAAGTGTTGATTGCATACTTGGCAAATGGCAGCATGTTGTCCCAGTTCATTTGGTTGTAGTCAGTGAATACATGCAAAACTTGTTCAACTGTCCAATTTCTCCTCTCCGTCTCCCTATCTCCTTCTGCGTGTCTTGCTGTCGTCATATTTGTCTTGACACCACACAATTTCATCAACTCCTTCCAGAAATCAGATGTAAAATGTGGGTTGTGGTCAGAGACAATGACACAAGGCATGCCATGGTGTCAGAACACTGTCTCCAGGTAAAGTCGAGCAATCACAGGCACAGACGTCTGCTTATCCTTCAGCGGAATTAAATATGAGAACTTGGATAGTTTGCACACAATAACAAGAATTGCATCATGGCCGCATGGTGTCTTTGGCAGAGACGTTACCAAGTCCATCGATATTGTGTGGAAGGGGAAAGGTGGGACAGCATGTGGCTGTAGTACACCATTCCTATTGACAGTGTGGCCCTTGATGTGCTGGCAGTGGTCACAGGAGCCAATGTAATACTCAACAGTCCTGTTCATGCATGGCCAGTAGAAATCGTGCAAACGTACAAGTGTTGGCTTCACTGCTAAATGTCCGGCTGTAGTATGTCATGGTTTCTCTTGACGATCTCTGACTGCAGCCCATCAGTGTGTGGAATGCAGAGTCATGGTCGTGTATCAGCAATGTAGTAAAGCAGGCCGTCGACATCCTCATAGCACTTAATTTTTGTTGCCAGTCCTTTATCAATCGGGTCATTTGGGTGCAAAAAAGTGCAGTAGACCTTCTTGAATGTGCCATCCTCCATGTATCCCTGTCGACTCTGCTCATACAGCTCTTCATCGCCTGAGAGCACTGCAACTGCTGATATCTCAAGGTGTGGGTGGCACGAAAGTCCGTCAGCCAGCTGGTTGTCCTTGCCAGGCTTGTAAACAATGACTAGATCATGTTCATTGATGGCATCAAGCCAGTGCAACTGTGTGGGCGACAAACGACTCGGCATTTTAATGTACTTGAGTGGGTGGTGATCAGTCTTGATGATGACATGTCGCCCTGCCAAGTAGTGGTGCTATTGCTCTAGGCTCTGGATGATAGAAAACAATTCCTTGTTTTGCACCTCATACTTGCATTGTGCATCATTTAATTGCTTGGAATGGTACTCGATGGAGTGATGGCCATCTGGGTGCATCTGCTCAAGCACTGCACCAACATTAAAATCGTTTGCATCAGTGACCAAATATATCTGCAGGCCCTTGCAGAATGGCTTCAAGATTGGGGCTGCACACAGTTGACGTTTCAGCTCAGTGGCAGCAGCCTCACAGACAGGTGTCCATGTTTATTCAGTGTCCTTGACAAGCAGCTTGTTGAGCAGCACAGTAATGTCAGCATAATTCTTGACAAATCGGCAATAGTATTCAAAGGTGCTTAACAGTTGGTGTACTTGTTTTGGATTTGTTGGCAATAGCCATGAGGCAATTGCTGAAACCCTGTGTAGATACATGTGTACACTGTCGGCATCAACTACATGTTTGAGATTGTTGGGCACAGATTTCCTTAATAGGCAATGCCCATCAGTTGCCCTTTTCTATGTGAGTACAAAGACTCACAGCCATAAAAAGGGCAAAACAACAACTACATTTATTAGTTCTCTTGCTTCTCTTTTCCTGGCTTTTAAAAATATAAACTTATCACTTATAAAATACACTAGTTAACAGAGATACTCGACCTGATGCTGGAACAGCTTTGTTTTTGAGCGACTTGCATATACACTGTTCATGTGCAGTGCCTCAAACACCTGCTGCAGATGTCGCTCATGTTCCTCCTCAGTCTGTGAGCACACAAGCAGATCGTCCAGGTACATGCAGACAAATGGCATATCCTTGAACACTGAGTTCATAAGTCTGCATAAAGCCAACGGCAAAACCTTGCATCCCTGTGGCAGCATCTGCCATGCAAAAACGCCTAATGGACATCAGAATGCTGTCAGCAGCTCTGACTCTGGATGTACATGCATCTGCTGGTATCCACTGACCATGTTGAAAACCAAAAAAATTTGCATCCATTGCAGCAATCCAGTAGAGCACTGATATTAGGCAGCAGCCATGAATAATCCTCAATTGCTGCATTCATCTGCCACATGTTGGCAAGTAGTCTGTAGCCTCTGAGTTTCTTTTTAATGACAAATGCAGGCGATGCAAAGGCTATGTCACACTCATAAATCTGGCCGCGCTCAAGCAGGTTGCCAAGAATTTCATGTAGGCCCTTGAGTTCAGGCACCAACATCCTGTACACAGCACAGTTCTGCAGCTTGGCATCCTGATTCAGCTCGAGTGTTGGATCCTGTGGGCAACGTGGTGGCAGGTCCTCTAGTAGTTTGTCACAAAGTCAGTCTTTGTGAATTATGCTAAGCTATGTGGCTTTCAGGTGTGCTGTTGCTGTATTTTTATTGCTGCTGTCTGCTGCTGTTCCAATGTTGTTAATTTCCACTGCCTGCTGTATGGCATGTAGCATCTCAGTGATGGCCCAGAGGTCGTCCTGCAGGCTAATGTTAAAGTAGGCAAGTGCAGTGACCTCAGGCCCCATCCCCTTGTGAAATATGAGCAAAGCTTCTCTTTGCTCAGCTTTGCAAGTTATATTTAAAGAAAGAAAAAGATATAGTTCTAAGCTAAAGAAAAAAGTGAAGAGACTGAGCAAAGCCGTCTCTTATATAGGAGACAGCGAGTGAAGATAAGAAAGGTAAATAAAAGAGGAGGATACTTTAGAAACTTCTGGTCTTTCAATCATCTTACAGTATGCAAGGTGGAGTTCCACCAAGAACAGAATTCCAACACCCCCTCCCCCTGCAGTGGCACTGGTACATACTCAGGAATGGGACTATAGTGCATCTGAATAATGCACTGGTCCCAGTCGACATGTGCATTGTTGTGGGTCACCCATGGTACACTGACAATGCATGCATAGTTAATTGGGGCGACAATATAATTAAATAAATCGGCTGTGGGGCCGAAATCAATGTGCAATTGGGACACAACATGAGTGATGAATATTTTGTGTTTATCAGTGAGTGGCACAGTAACTGGGGAAATTGGGGGAGAAAATTTAGTGTGCGACAGTGAGTCGGCAAACTGCTCACTCAGCACCATGCCAGTACAACCGCTATCAAATAATGCAATACAGTGCATACCAGCAACATCAATTACAAATAAAAAGGTGGGGGAAAATCCACCCAATAAAGACTAAATATAAACATGAGAAGGTCTGTGAAAAATAGGATCTAATTTATTGGCAGGATAAAAATAGGGAAGGAGGAAAGAGGATATACTATTTTTGCCAGTAGAAGCAACCTGGCAGTCTACTAGCTGGTGTAAAAACCCTGAAAATTGTAAGGAGCAGGGGGTTGTTGCTGTGGCTGTTGATGACCGTGCAGGTGCATTAATGACATTTGCACATAGTACATGGTCTGAGCAGCAGGGAAATCAGGAGTCTAGCCGGCAAGGTAACTAGAGAATTGGGCTGCAGGAAGCACAAACATTTCAAAATTATTTACCTGGTACCCATGGCTGGGTGGAAAACGCTGCTGCTGAGGAGCACAACCTTATGGGCAAAAATGCGAGATGTGGCCAGGTTAGTGGCATTTAAAACAGGTGCCTGTTGGAATTCTGTTCTTGGTGGAATTCCGTTTTGCATACTGTAAGATGATTGCAAGACCAGAAGTTTCTAAATTATCCTCCTCTTTTATTTACCTTTCTTATCTTCACTCGCTGTCTCCTATATAAGAGATGGCTTTGCTCAGTCTCTTCACTTTCTTTCTTTAGCTTAGAACTATATCTTTTTCTTTCTTTAAATATAACTTGCAAAGCTGAGCAAAGAGAAGCATTGCTCGTTTCTTACACAAATGGGGCTGGACAGGTAAACAGGGCAATAGATGTTGGGTGCAGTGTAGCTGTGGATACCTGTCGATTTGCAGGGGTTAAAGTTGTCGTACAAACAACCTCCTGCTGGGCAGCCATTGGGTTGTTCATTGCATCAAAAAATGGCAATGGGAAAGTGGTGTGAGGTGCCATGTCTGAGTCAGAATCAGACACACTAAAGTCAGGGCCAAAATGGGCCAGTGTAGCATGATAGCAATCAAAAGCTGTGAAAAAATGATCGGGAAAATTATAAGTGAACAATAAAACAAGGGTAACTGGGTGACTAGGGGGAATTTGACACTAATAAAAAACTTTGAAATCCACCAGTGTTAACAGATGATTTCGATACATGTACTTAAAACTGTATTCTAAAAACTAAGAAAAGAGAAGAATGAGAACTAATAAATGTTGGTGTTTTGCCCTTTTTATGGCTGTGAGTCTTTGTACTCAAGGGCAACTGATGGGCATTGCCTACTAAGGAAATCTGTGCCCAAAATCTTCACTCCTGCTAATGTCATCAAGAATGGGAGGGCTGCAAGCATTACCATGGATGCAATTTCTGACTCTCTGGCTGCCCGCTTTACTGAAAGCACAGCCTTTGAGATGTGGGCCACACTTAACACCACATCTGACATCAGGACTACAAATGTTCTTATCAGTGAGCTGCGTGAGCTTCTGAACACTGCCATGGCATCTGGTGACAACCCTGTGGAGTACTGGGTTGAGTCAGAGAGCAAATGGAACCTGTTCCCCCACCTGGACCTTGATCTCAAAACCATTAGTCCACTTGTGCGCCTTGCTGGCCTCTCTGAGGAGTACAGTTCTGTCAGGGACAAATTCTCCAATGTCTCACCTACCAAGCTCAAGACTGCTGATATTCTTGCAGCTATCAAGGATGCTTTTACACTGCGCCAAGCTGCTGCATCTACTCACACTAAGGCCAGTGGTTACACCATCTCAGCTTCTTCCTCACTGCTCTGTCAGCTCTGTGACAAGCCTGGTCACATTGCCAAGCACTGCCCCTCAGTTGGACATGATACTACTGACTCAGCATCAGGCAGCAAGGGCCCTTCCAGGTCTGTTTTCATAGGTGGACTTTCTCACCTGGTTGCTGGCTCAAGCATATCTGCTCAGCCTTTGCTCAGCAACCCATCTGCCTGGATGCTGGACTCTGGTGCTATGGCCAACACAACACCACACAGAGAGGATTTTGTCAGCTACTCACCCTGCTCAGGAGATATCATGGGCATGTCTGGTGCAGTTACCAAGATCTGTGGTATTGGCCAAGTCAGTGTTGGTGACAGTGACAGCAACTTTGTAATACACAATGTTCGCCATGTACCCAAGTCAGTGATGAACATGCTGTCAGTCAGCAACATTTCACAGCATGGGCTGGATGTGCTCTTTTCCGAAAATCGTGCATTTGTGTACAAGGATGGTGAAGCAATCATGGCAGCAGACTTTGAAGATGGTCTTTACTAAATCGTTCCTGACACCTGCTATGACAAGCATCGACTGGCCAGAGCCCCAAAGCTGGTCTCAGCTGCAAGCATCCCATCTTCTGCCACTGTGCTGCCAACAAGCAAGCTGTCAAGAAAGTCTATCTCTGCCCTGGATGCTCATGTGCGGTTTGGGCATGCATCTGCACCCTACATCAAGCATGCAGCCGATACTCTTGGCCTGGAACTGGTGGGATCTGTAGACAAGCACTGTGAAGTGTGCTCTGTTGCCAAGCCAGCTGAGAAGCCACATAATGGCCACCTGCCACGAGCCAAGGCACCTCTTGAAGTGGTTTACTCTGATGTTGGTGTTGTGACTCATCCATCTGCTGAGCGCAGCAAGTACTTTGTCACCTTCATAGATGACTACTCCTGCAGTGTGCTTGTGTATCTCATGGGGCGCAAATCAGAAGTCACTGACAGATTCAAGCTGTATGTGGCCAAGATGGAGCGCCAGCTGGATGCCAAGGTCAAGACATTGCATTCTGACAATGGTGGTGAATACATCAACGGAGATATGAAGGCATTCTGTGAGGCCAATGGCATCTGCCAGGTTACCAGCTCCCCCCACACACCCCAGCAGAATGGTGTAGCTGAACAATACAATCGCACCCTGGTAGAGATGGCCAATGCCATGCTGCTGCAGTCTGGCGTCCCTCTTTGTCTATGGGCTTTTGCCATTGTGCATGCTAACTGGGTGCTCAACTGTCTGCCCAAGCGTGCTCTTGGCATGAGCACACCTTTTGAGAAGCTGGACAGTGCCAGCAACATTGCCAACATCCATCCATTTGGCTGTCTGGTCTGGAGTGAGTACCCTCCTGAGCTGCGTTCTAAGTTTGGCGAGCATTCCCAGAAGTGTGTGTACCTGGGAACCAAGGATGGCAAGGCACTGCTGTATCGCATAGACACTGGCCGTGTTCTACACACCTCAAGAGCCAAGTTTGTGGATGCAGAATTTCCATTCTACAATGAAAGTGCACCCTCTGTACCATTCTACTTCCATAAGTCAGACATGACTGACATGCCCACACAGCATGGCCCCATACACATAGCAGATCTGTTTGATGAGGATGACGACCTGCATCTGGCACAGCTGCAAGAGGAGGACAAGTGGAGGCATGTTCAGGAGAGGCACCAGAGAAACAGCAGAATAATCCAGTCTATCCTACGTGGCAGCAACAACAGCAACAGTGAGTCTGAGTTTACTGATGCCTCATTTGTCACTGCCCATGAGGAGCACAGTCCTAGCTCGACACCCCAGCACACTCCAGTTCGCCATTCTTCAGCCACAGCCACAAGTACCAGCAACAGGAACAGCAACAGCAGAAACAGTACATCAACCACTGAGCCACTAGGCAGAGAGCCCTTTTCTGGGCATCCATCATCTCTGTCAAGCCGCAGTGCTCAAGATACTACCAGCACCAGTGTCAAAATCCACAGACACCAGCCAACCAACCCATCTCCCTTGAGGCTATTGTCTACTGCTGCCAGAGCTACTGACCCAGTAACACCCATGCTCAGCCGTCGCTCAGCAGCCTCAGCAGCCTCAGCACGAATCACTGACATTGCTGCTCATGAGCAAGGCACTCTCACCACTAGAAACAGCCAGCCTACAACAGACTGGTGGCGAGTGGATGACAGAGTGCAGGCCGACAGCACCAGCATGCCCAACCATGATGTCGACTATGACTATAACAGCAACAGCTATGATGACGACCAAGATGCTCTGGTACAGAGCAATGGTGCCCTGTTCTGTGGTGTGGCTGTATCAGGCCCCACATCCTACATCCAGGCCATGCGCTCAGAGGAGGCACCCTTGTGGAAGGCTGCAATCAAAAGCGAGTTGGCATCTATTGCTGAGAATGAGGTGTTTGAGCTTGTCCCACGCTCATCCTCAATCCACCCTCTGAGCACACGCTGGGTATTTGTTGTCAAACAAGGCTCAGATGACAAGCCACCATTGTACAAGGGCCGCCTGGTAGTCAGAGGCTTTGAGCAGCGCCCTGGGATTGATTACAATGATGTGTTTGCACCTGTGGTGACCTACAAGTCTATTCGTATAGTCATAGCACTTGCAGCCCACCATGACTGGCTGCTACACTCCATGGACGTCAAGACTGCCTTCTTGCATGGTGACCTGGAAGAAGACATATATGTCGAGATTCCTGATGGCATGACTGGTGACTGGACCAAGAGTGTTCTCAAGCTACGCCACTCCCTATATGGTTTGAAGCAGGCACCATGCACTTTGAATCGTCGCCTGAATACTTTTCTTTGTGGCAGCCTTGGATTCCAGTGCAGCAATGCTGACCCAGGTGTCTACTGGCTTAAAAGTGGCTCTGCAACATGCATTTTGACAACCTATGTTGACGACTTGCTGCTGGCTGCATCTGATGACAACATCCTGGCCAAGGTCAAAACTGGCCTGTCTGCTGAGTTCTCAATGAAGGATCTGAGTCTGTGCAGCACAATCCTAAGCATCAATGTGCATCACATCTCTGATGGCATCAAGATCAACCAGGTTACTGCCATCCAGAACCTGGTCAGCAAGTATGGCCTTGAGGAAGCCAATGATGTTGATCTGCCCATTGCTGCTTCTGCCAAGCTTGGAGAGACTGCCCCACACCTTGCCAAGTGCAATGCCACTGAATACCGCTCAATTGTTGGCACCCTGCAGTACCTGGCCATGGTCACTCGGCCTGACATTGCTCTGGTCACCTCTGTGCTTGCATCATTCAACCAAGAGCCACTGATGAAACACATGGGTGCTGCCAAGCGAGTACTCAAGTATCTGAAGACCACCTGCAACATGGCCATTCACTATCGTCGGTCTGAACACCTCAACCCAGTTGGGTACAGTGATGCTTCATTTGGACTGCGTACTGTGGGAGCCATGGTAATTGGCTATGTATTCACTCTGGCAGGAGGAGCAGTTGCTTGGAAGTCAAAGAAACGTGCTCTTGGCTTGCCACCTCAATCCACAGCTGAAGCTGAGACCATTGCCCTGACCTCTGCTGTCCGTGAGCTCATGTGGCTACAAGACCTGCTGTGTGACATCCATGTACATGTTGACCCTGCCACCATCTTCTGTGACAATGAGGGCACTATCAACAATACACGCACTGGTGCTGTGACTGATGCCAACAAGTACTACAAGTCTACTCTGCAACTTCCTCATGCTGCACTATCTCAGCAAGTATCCTTCTCTTTTATTTACCTTTCTTATCTTCACTCGCTGTCTCCTATATAAGAGACAGCTTTCCTCAGTCTCTTCACTTTCTTTCTTTAGCTTAGAACTTTATCTTTTTCTTCCTTTTAAATATAACTTGCAAACCTTCTCTTTGCTCAGCTTTGCTCGTTTTTCACATGCTGATCCAAAATTTTGTCGACTTCAAAGTGGTCTGAAGTATTGTGATTTGGTTTTGGGTGCAGCAACTCAGTTGGTCTTGAAGTGTATGCCTTGAGTGACGATATGTAGAAAACATTGTATGCACAGACATTGGGAGGCAGTTCAATATGGTATGTGACAGATGAAAGTGTCTCTAGGATCTTGTATGACCCAAGCCAGTGGGCACTCAGTTTAGTAGTGTTGGAATTATGTCTTACCTGCTGTCAGATGATCGACATTCTAGAATACTCTAAAGTGTTCTTATCATTTATTTACGTTTCTTGTCTTCACTCACTGTCTCCTGTATAATAGACAGCTTTCCTCAGTCTCTTTGCTTTCTTTCTTTAGCTTAGAACTTTATATTTTTCTTTCTTTTAATATAACTTGCATAGCTCTGCTTCACTGTACTTTGCTTGTTTTTCACATGCAGATGGGTGGTTGCATTCATAGTCGGAGTTGATCATGCTGGTACTGATCATGACAAGCTCTCCAGCCTTGAACAGGATGTCACAACAGTTGCAGTTTACTTGGGTTGTCATTGCATCCTGGGTAGCTGCCAGTGTGTCATGTGCTTGACAGATGACTTGCTGGTGACGGTTCATGAAATCGGACAGAGCCAAGTTGGTCTGTGGGTTGAGTAGAACATTGGGCGTGACTGCTTCATGACCATGTACAACATGCATTGGCGTCAGAACACAGTCTCTGGGTAAAGTCGAGTAATCACAGGTGCAGATTGATGTTTCTCCTTCAGCAGGATTAAATACAAGAAATTGGACAGTTCACACACAATAATGAGAATTGCATCATGACTGCATGGTATCTTTAGCAGACAGCACTATGTCCATCAATATTATGTGGAATGGGAAGGTAGGACAGTGTATGGCTGCAGTAGACCATTCCTATTGACAGTCATGCTCATGCATGGGCAGTAGAAGGTATGCAAGCATGCAATTATTGGTTTCACTGTTAAATGTTCTTCTGTTGGTATGTCATGGTCATGTATCAGATGTAATAAAGCAAGCTGTTGACTTCCTCAGCACTTGGTTTTGGTTGCCAGTCCTTTATTGATCAGCCTTTTTGGGTGTTGCAAAGCATGATAGACCTTCTTGAATTTGTAATCCTCTATGCATCCTTACCAAATCTACTTATGCATCTTTTCATTGCCTGAGAGCACCACAACTGTTAATATCTCAAGGTGTGAGTGGCATGACAGCCCATGGGCCAGCTGGTTGTTCTTGCCAGGCTTGTAAACAATATCAAGAGCATGTTTATTGATGACAATGAGCCAGCACAGCTGTGTGGGTGACAATCCACATTGCATTATAATGTACTTGGGTGGGTAGCAGTCAGTCTTGACAATGACATACTGACCTACCAAGTAGTGGTGCCATTACTCCAGGCTCTAGACAATAATAAAATTACTTCTTGTTCTGCATCTCATATTTGCACTGTGCATTGTTCAATTGCTTGGTGAGGCAGTTGGCAGGGTGTCAGCTATCTGAGTGCATCTGCCCAAGCACTGTACCAACACCAAAATATATTGCATTAGTGATCAAGTATGTCTGCAAGTCATTGCAGAACAGCTTCAGGATTGGGCCTGCACACAGTCAACGTTTCAGTTAAATGATAACAGCCTTGCAAGCAGATGTCCATATGTATTTGGTATTCTTGACAAGCAGCCTGTTGAGTGGCGCAGTAATGTCAGTGTAGTTTTTGACAAATTAGTAATAGTAGCCAAAGGTGGCCAGCAATTGGTGCATCTGTTTTGAATTTGTCAGCAGCAGCCAGGAGGAAATTGCTGAAACCTTATGCAGGTCCATATGTACCCCTGTCAGCATCACCAATGTGTTCAAGGTACCCAACCTGGTGCTGGTGTGAAAAACGAGCAAAGCTGAACAATGAGAAGTTTTGCAAGTTATATTAAAAGAAAGAAAAAGAAAAAGTTCTAAGCTAAAGAAAGGAAGTGAAGAGACTGAGGAAAGCTGTCTCTTATATAGGAGACAGCGTGTTATGTTAAAAGTATATATTTGAACTCAATGAACTAAAAGAAAGCCCAGAGATGAACAGCCTCCACTGTTCATATTCATTAGTATTTATATGTGCATATGAATTCCTGCATGTCCAAGTAGGGAATTAACTGGCGATTGATTCATTAATCAATCGCCAAAGACAAGCCGCAATTTCTTGTATCACACAGCAAGTGAAGATAAGAAAGGTAAATAAAAGAGAAGGATACTTTAGAAACTTTTGGTCTTGCAACCATCTTACAGTATGCAAGACGGAATTCCGTCAAGACGGAGTTCCACCAAGAACGGAATTCCAACATTGGGCACACATTTCCTTTGTAGCCAATGCCCATCAGTTGCCCTTTTCTTTGTGAGCACTAATACTTACAAGCATAAAAAGGGCAAAACAACATTCACTAGTTTTGACTTCTTTTTCCTGTATTTTTGATAGAATATATTTTAGAACATTTATTTAATACACTCGTTAACAACATGTGTATTGGCAGTGCAGCCAGATGATCATTGTAGAACATATTGAGAAATACCACTGGTCACAACATTTCAAACATGAGTTACATCACCCACCACCAGATGATGTTGATGGGAGGGCAGAATGGGAAGTTGAGCAAATTTTAGATGTGCACCATGTTGATAATAAAGGTGGGTTCCTGGGCAAATGGGTTGGCTATAATGAAGATGACAGCACCTGGGAGCCTGGAGAGTTGTGACATCAGAAATGGGGCCGAGTCACGTGACAGCGCAGACGCATAAAATATGTTTATGATATTTTACGCGTACGGCGAATTCTGAATAGTGAGCTCTTCAGCTCTTTCCATAGACTCATTTCTATTAATATATATTATAGCTAGTCCAAATCTCATTACAAGAGTACCTGAACCTACAAAAGAGCCTGTTAGTGGGTTTGCCAGGAAACACCCAGCCAAAATGGAGTGCATAGTAAGTGGCTGCTGAGGAAGACCACATAAGCAGGCAAGGCAAATGGCATAACCCAGTGTGACACATAAATTCATTACTAGGAATTGGGTAGGGTCATGATCAAATCAGCAATCATTATCATTCTACTTTGCAATAATTTTTTTAGGATTCCATTTCCATCTCAGGTGTATTTAAAACACCATTTTGACTCTTCATGTATGTTCTAAGCTGATAGAAAATTGGGTTCAAGGTATATTATTTACTGAGTACTAAAACCCAAGACAACGAAGAAGAAGGAATCACAACAATAATTGTTGTGATTGTATGCCTTTATAACTATTTATAAATGCACTGATTGTCGTTGGCTCAACCAGCCAACATATATAGTCCTTCTCTTTTATTTGGACCTAAATTATAGTGTAATAAAGCCACCCCTTTTATGCAGGATATTGCCAAAAAATTTGATTTAATTTTCTCTTGATTATTTTTGACTTGAATGAGAAAAGGTGGAATCATCAGCAGAGGCGAGCATTGGGCCTAATGGATAATACTCCTTCAGTACTATGAAGTAGCGGATGTGCGAGTTTCAACCAGCAGTGCATATTAAAGTGCAAGCCATTAAACATCAGAATAGGCTCTACTTTTTTGTTTGTTTCTCACGATTATTTCATTATTGGGTGGTTCAATTATATGCTTAAAAGTACATTGTTTTTTGTTGTGGCGATATTGTGTTCCATTAGGATGTGTCATGTTGTGTCATGTCATGTCAATCTACTAGTTTTTCACTCTTGCTTTAGTCATTGAGTGATCTGTGTGCTATTTTCAACACGCACACAAAAGTAAAATATTAATTTCTTTGTATTTGCCTTGGATGTATTATCAGTATCCGCATGAAGTTTAACATACAATATAGCTCAGGTTTAATGTGCGCGTATTTGCTGCTGGCTAAAAATGGCAACACAAATAAATAGTACAGCAGCAACTGCCAAAGTTTTGATAGCAGCACAAAGTGTATTCTTGAAGTCGTGGGTCCAAAGAAACATGATTGTCAACATTTCTTTGCCATTTTTCATTCGCAGCTGCACAAAGCTGGGCAATCCCTCTTTGCGCGATCAAAAGCAGTGAGGCAAAATACATGGTTGTGAAAAGACTGTTAGTTGAAAATCCACTCCCCAAAAAAGTCAAACTCAGATGAACTAATCTAAACAAGTTTCATCGCTCAAAACAATGTGACTTTAAGCGGCGGTAATGATTTAGCTTGTAAAATGAGGTGTCGCTTTTTGGCACTGGGCATTGTCTTTTGCTTGGGAGCTTCGTTGTGCAGCTTTATTCAAAGCATTGTGAAAAAGGAAAGACAAAAGCAAAACAAACACGTTACGAAGACAATATACACGCATTGTGCTTTGTTTAAATTAATTATGTTTTGTTTGTGCTAGTTGAGCTGAAAAATAAAACTACAATAGGCGAGCTTGTATAGTCAACAGATGTATAGAATGCAAATTATTTTCAAGCCAATTAAAATCAGAGCCATATACGTCTCTTGACGACTGCATGGGGAATAAGCGCTCTTTTTTGGCTCCCGGCTGCGGAGGGGCACAGGTCGCTTGAAATGGAAGGTAATGGATTCCAGGTGACAGAAACCATGCTGATTCGCTGTCGCATGGGCTCAGTCCGCAAGTAATCGAATCGCCTTGGCTCATCGCATTTTTTGCCCACTATTCTGCAACGTACGATGTAAAAATAGAAGGCGGAAAAAACCGGTCTTGACAATAATCGAGAGGATTTTCGCAAACAAACAATTCAGATTCAGTGCCTGCATTTTAAAGAATAAAATACAAAGGCAACAGTGCTCCGTCATTTATTTTTTCATTTCATGTGCCTTTCTGTCGCTGCTGTCACTGTTGGCTCGCTCTCCCCGCTTGCTACCACAGAGGGATGATTGTCTTAGCCACTCTCGGGCAAGCAGCCCTTAAAGGGGATGTACCCCTTATTTTTCTCAACATAAGTTTTCTTTGCGCCCGTTTTTGCTGATTCATTTATAAACACGCTCTTTCTGCCTCCCACTTTGTGCTGCTCAGTCGCTCCCAAGTATCTTTTCTTCCCGCAAGCTTTTTCCGTTTCTTTTCTTTTGCTTTAATTCCCACTCCCACCTCAGTTTTCGCTACCTACCCCTCCCCAAACCTACATTAACCATGAAGTTCTTTGCTGCCACCATCGTTCTCGGCATGGCCGCCGTCGCCGTCGCCCAGAATAGCTCGTCGTCGCTGAGCGCCTACGAGCAGTGCCTCGAGAACAAGTGCCCCAACAGCAAGGAAGATGTCAGCTGCCAGGCCGCGTGCATGGGTAACCCGAACCCCAACGCCTCGATGATCGCTGATACCAACGAGTGCTACAAGGGTTGCATTGGTCTCGACTACCAGGGCGCCATCGACTGCCAGGCAAAGTGCAACATCATCTACAACCCGGCCAACACCGTTGTCACCGACCACCTTGTTCCCGCAGGTGTGACCAGTGGTAGCGGCTCGGCTGTTTCCGCCACCACCAGCTCTACCGCCGCCAACACCGCCGCTGAGACTTCGGCCGACGTCAAGTCTAGCTCCAAGGCTGCTTCCGATGCCAAGTCCGAGCTTGATGACGAGTCTGCCAGCAGCGAGGACGAGGAGAGCAGCGGCTCATCCAACAAGAGCAGCAGCTTGTCCAGCAAGAGCAAGAGCAGCTCGAGCTCTGCTTCGACCCTGAAGGCTGCCTTGTCTGGCGTCGCTCTGGTTGCTGCCGCCGCCCTGTTCTAAGCAATAGACGCGGTTTATTAAAACAACCAACCGTTTGGCTGATTGCTCTATCTGCGTTTAAATTTTTTATTTTATTTTCATGTTTTTGTTTGCCTTTCTCAACTTGGCTGCTTAATAAACGACTCGGGTTTTTAATTATTCGCTCACTAGGGCTGTGTGTATGTTTTGTTTTAACGCAGGATTAATGTGCCATTTAATAATCCCCTTTTCGCTTCCATTTCCAACACCCTCTTTTTTGTTGGGGATTTAATTTATTATTTTCTAAACTCGCTCTGCTCTGCTCTGCACTTCATCTACATTGCATCCACAGTCTAACCAGCCCATCAGCCATATCCTTACAATATTGCTGTCATGGCGCAGATGACGCAGATGACGCAAATGCCGCTTGTGCTTGTGCGTATGTTCATACGGCCAGAGCAAGCTTTTCACTTTTTTATTACGCTTTATGATCATTTCCTTTATGGTGATCGCCCTCTTTTGTTCTAAAATTAGAATCAAGCGAGCTGAGTAAGACAAATATTCTGTGATTGGGGTGATCTTGATTTGGGTACATGGAAAAAATATGTGGGGAAAAGGAAAGGCTGACACAGAAAACGCCTGCACGTGATATGCAGCTCAATTCTCGGCTTGTCCAATTTGAGCTTGGCGTTTCGAATTCGAAATGTAAAGGCCAGCAAGCCATCGTCACCATCATCATCATCATCATCATCATCATCATCATCATCATCATCATCATCATCGCCTGCCCGCCTGCTCACTTCGCTCACTGGTCACTCAGACAGCTTGTCGAGAATGTATTCAAGCCTGTGAGAATAAGTAAGGCGTTAACACCACCGGCATATCGAAAATATGCGGGGAAAAAGGAATTGGCTTCTGAGATGCATCCCCGGTTCTGCGCCGTTTGGGCTCTTGCTCGTTTGATGAGAGGCAATAGACAGGCCAAATTCCGAGCATATTTGTCCCAATCGTCTTTTGTCCTTTTTTGCGCGAACCGGGCAGGAATCCCCAATCCATCGCCGAAGCAGCTGAAGACGATGCGCATGTTTAGGCTTGGTGCAATATCTCTGTCCCAAAGGCACCTCCTGCCCACGGGCTCTGTTTCTTCCGCTGGGTGGGCTGCATCATCCACAAAGAGGTCACGCCAGTTGCAGCTTGTGCCATGCTATCAAGAATGGGGGCAGCGTTAATAGACGTTGATTTGCGCGCATGGTCAGGCAGCGAAGAGGGGACAAGGAGAGATAAATGAAAGAAGAGAGAATGGAAGAAATAGTGGTTCCGCCTAGTTATTAAATGTAATGGGAAAAAAGACAGCTTGGGTTTCCTTTTCTTTATTATTCTCGGCTTTTTGTCTATTTTATTAATTCCCAATCGACAGAGGATTCATCTTATTTCCCTTCCGCATTCCACAAATAGTCGCTTGTAATTTACTTTTCTGTCAAACAGCCCACTAAAGCAGAATGCCCGCCCCATCGCTGCTGTCGCACGACGACAGGAGCACCATTTTAAAAGCCCAGCCAAAACCCAAGCACGTAAGTAAGCGCACAGACATATATTGAATGCGCTCCGGCCGCAAAAAGTGCAAAATACGGTCAATTTGCAATGTATTAGCACCCCAGTTGCTTCTGAGTTTCAATTCCATTTTTTGCAACCTCTTTTTACTTTGAGGCACACCAGTGGCATAAATTTGCGCCGATTCACTAAACCCTCAAGCTTGTTGAATTAAATTGCAACCTTTGTGTTCTTACTTGCATTTAGAGTGTCGTTGGAGCAGCAATCGCGCGGCTGTTTGTCGCGTACCCCGACCGGAGAAGGTGGTCGTACACGCACCGCTTTGGAGGCCTGGTGCTGGTGAAGGACACGCACAATAATGACGCATCCTTTCTGCGGATTGTCAATCTGAGCCCAGGTGGGGAGCAAGTCATATGGGAGCAGGAGCTCTACCGCGGATTTGAGTTTACCAAGCAGACGCCCTTTTTCTTTACAGTTGTCGGCGATGAGCACGTCTTTGGACTGGACTTTGCAGACCCAGACGAGGCGGCCAA